GCGTATTGATTAAACGTGCGAGAATAGAACTCGGAATCGATCGGGTCTTACCTCTATCTAGTCAGGCGGGCATAGGTTTACGCACCCTCTTTGCCAGGCGTCCCGTTGTACGGCCGAGGTATCCCACCCCACAGAGGCAAGTGAATGAGTAGATGCACATTGATGTGGCCTCCAACGGTAGTTCGCCTTTATCTCCAAAACGTAGGACGGAGAGCTTGTAAAACATACGCGTCTATTCGCGTGAGAAATGCTCTCGTGATAGCCGTAGTTAAGCGCCGTCTGACTAGTTGGCTCACTGCATCCCCTGCAAAAGGCAATCTCTTATCTGCAGCTGCAACAGCCGGCTTTGCTGTGCGTTCCCAACTATTTCGGAGGATAAACCTATCGGGGTATCCGTTGCCGCGAAATGTCTTCCGCGGTTGTTGGGGTACAGTTTTAAAAGACGGTCTTTATACGTAAGCTGGCGGGTAAAGTTAGGTGAAAGGTGCATAAGGCGAATGTTATGAAACTTTTTGAAGGAGATAATCAGACTTAAGTGCTTTATTGCCACATATGGGGTTTTTACTTTGTCATCAAATATTTTTGACGATCCAGTTGCCAGGTAGGTCCATAAATAGTTGTTTTTCGTAGCTAAGGATTTTATCTCTCGTGAATTTTTTTGTAAACCTTTTGGACTCTGAAATCGTAGCGGTGGAGATGTTAAGGCAACTGGCTTGTTTTTGACTAGTTCGGGTACCTTTAGTTTGCCTGCCACTGTATATCTCAGCAAAACCGCGCGAAAAGTACAAAGTAAGTCACTTCTCTGACCACTGGCAACTTTGAAATCACCGCTCATAAATCGTTGTTTTTCTTAGTTAATGATTTTGTCTCTTTTGCATTTTTCGAATACGTGCTTGACTCTCAAATCGTAGCGGTGGGCATGTCGAGGCAACTGACTTACTTTCAAATAGTTCGGGTAGCTGTAGTTTGCGTGCCGCTGTATAGCAACTCAAAAGCGCGCAAAAATCTATATTATCAGTCAGTTGGTTGACTACTGGCAACTTCAAAAGCTGCATTCATATTTGCAATCACCGCTCGGTGTAGTTTAGGATACAGAGGAGCAGATTTCTATGCGCCGATTCGTTACGCCCGACACACCTGACAATGGACCTGTTAACCCGTGTGACAAATGATCCTATGACAATGTAGTTGATCACCCGGTTGGTAGCTTAGGTCACAGTAGACTATAAATTTAAAAATCACGTAGGTGTGACAAAAGAATGAATCTTTTTATCGTGCTTGCCATTTCGTTTCCCTGCGTACAATCCTGCTTTTTCATAAACGGTAAGTCGGATTTCACATTTACATAATGTACCAACCCATGAAAGACGTAGCAAAAGAGACTTCAATTATGATATATATTTGTACATTTCTATTACAATACTATATGACCAATATTAGCTGGATAAATA